ACTGGGTTCTATAATTAAGTCTGAACCTGAGAATCTTTCCCAGGATATATTCAAGTTTAATAAAAAGACCAACAGTCTAAATAAAATGTAACTCCAACTAATATGATGATACATGCTAACTAGCCACAGGTTCTTCCAAAAGAGATCTCTTCTAAGAAGAGATCACTGTGTATCCAGGGATATAGTTTGAAAGTAAAAGAAATGCTTATTATACAATACTCCCCTCACTGAATATTATTATCTTGATTGTCAGGAGATCTTAATGACATCATCTGCAAATGTTGTTTGTTTATATAATCGTTTTATTTTTAATTCATCCTTATCCTTCTCTCTTATCCGCATAGGTTTCTTCCCACTACGGTTTGTTGGGGGAACAGCAACTTTATGATATTGAAGAAATATTTCTATGTATTCTTGTCTCAAATTATATAAAAACTAGAAGAAGGGAGCAAAATTTTAGTGCTCTTAGGAATTTGTGTCTATGACTGAAGTATCAATGCCCCTAATCCATAAAGAACGCTATAGCCCTAGGCCAGGGTCAGCAAACTCATTAGTCAACAGAGCCAAATATCGACAGTACGATGATTGAAATTTCTTTTGAGAGCCAAATTTTTTAAACTTAAACTATATAGGTAGGTACATTGTTACTAACTTAATTAGGGTACTCCTAAGCTGGCCTTTGCTAAAAACATCCTCAGTCTGATTGAGGTACGTTCCCTGAGGTCGACCCCTTCCAACTCTCCCATCCACATTCGTCTTGTATACTTGTTTCGTCTATCTCCTTTCCGAAAACCGACTTCTGCACATGGGCCACGAAGTTTCAATCGCACTGTACGTGCGCGCCCGCACGTGGTATTTTGTGGAAGAGCCACACTCAAGGGGCCAAAGAGCCGCATGTGGCTCGTGAGCCGCGGTTTGCCAACCACTGCCCTAGGCGGTTTGGCTCAGTGGATATAGCGTCGGCCTGCAGACTGAAGGGTCCCAGGTTCAATTCCGGCCAAGGGCACATGCTCAGGATTCGGGCTTAATCCCCAGTGTGGGGTGGGCAGGAGGCAGCCAATCAATGATTCTATCTCTCTCTCCCTCTGAAATCAATAAAAATATATATTTTTTAAAAAGAATGCTATAGACTTGAGATTTGAACCAGGACAGAAAACAATCGCCCTTGAGGTTGCCTGCACGAACCATCTGCCTTGAGTTTTGATTCCTGCTTGATTTAGATGACAGGATATTTCCCATGCAGAAGGGAAAAAAACAAACACAGGATATTTAGAAATGATTACTATTTGTAGTCCTGTTTATTACTCTCACTCTTCAAGGGATAATGGTTACACGACATTACTCCCTTAGTAAAGGTATTTTTAAGTGTGTGTTATGGTAGAAAGTAAAACTGCCATTAGTTGGACTAAACACTCCAGCATCTCCTGCAAAACTACCAAGGAGTCCCTGCAACTTGCCAGCTCCTCGCTGGATCACTAGGCTAGAAATGTTCTCAATTCCTTCTCTCCTCGTGGCTCAAAAAGGGGCTGGGAAAAGAGTGAGCTATTAGTTCCATGACAAGTCTCTGGTGCATCTAGTAATGAGACTGACATCCCATTGTTCAGCCAATGCCCACAGACTACAAAAGTATTTTTCATACCCACGGCTTCAAAAACATTTGAGGCAGCAAGTGAGCCTGTTGGGGATAAGGACTCCACAAAATACAATTTTAATTAACACTGTACACGACTTAGAGCTGACATCCTAAAGTGTATAAGCTAGTAGCTGGGTTCATGAAATGAATACAGCTGTGATTCACAGCCCCCTCCTAGCAGAAGCATTCTGAAGACAGCCTACATGCTTGTAGCAATCCAAACAACTCTTCATATAAAAGTAATTTGGTTTAAAAATATAAGCTACGTGCCATAAAGGGTTACATTGATTTCAATCCATCCCACCTTCCTTCACAGTGCCAGGGTTTGTAAGAGAGAGAATGTGGCATCCTTAAACTACTCCATCAAAGAGAAGGAAGGTTCGAGAAGCAAGTGAAATTTAAAGAGTCAATTTTCAGGGGGCCTTCATTTTGAGAGTTGGGCTATTTTTGTCCTTGTTTTTAGAAGAAAATCAGCCTCTGCTTCTATCCCAAGCATTTGTGAAGAGGACAGCAGGGACAACACGGGCACAGCTGTCCAATTTACATTCACAAATGCAGGTGTTGCACAGACACAAAACAGAGGTCAGCTGAATCCTGCTCCTAATTAGCTACCTTTTTCACAAGGATTTTCCTTTGTGAAGTTATGCATGTAATTTGGGTTCAACTTAGAGACCATTTTTAGATCCCAGCATGCTATCCACTAAGAAGCGGGCTGTCATTATAAAGCATAATTTACAGCATAGTTAATTTTACATGTGTTTTTTTTTAAATCGACATCATACCTAAGGCAAAATTCTGTTCTGCACACACATTATTCACTCTGTTTTCCATCCACTTCTCAATATTTAAAAGTGTAGAATTTAGCCAGAAAATCTTTTATGTAGGAATGGGAGAATTTTTGCCCTTTTTCTAAGATTGAGAAAGTCTGCCATTTTAATAATGAGGACCAAAGACTTTGTTAAATGATACAAGAGAAGTAGCTATTTGCTATTGTCTTCAGTGGGGAACACCCTGGGGCTGATTATAGCAGTTCTTAGAAATGGCAGGATGGAGACTGGTATCTAATACAATCCATTAAGAAACCCAAGCCCTAAATGAAATGACCACAAAATCCTATCAGTTCACAGAAATGCAGCAGCTGTACATGTTTATTGTAATACAATAGGATATTGTTACAGAGATAACACTCTTAAAATAAAATAAAAAAAAGAACCCAGCAAGTGATGTGACCAGTTTATTTCTCTATTTGAAAAACGAGAACGTATATAGTGTGGCAGAGCTTTTGATATAAATAAGCATGAAGATTGCAGAGAAGACAGGCATAGTATGTACACTAATGGGCTGCTGGGATCAGCCGGCAAACTTCAAGCCACTGTGACGCCCAGGTTTTGCAGGCTATTCAGAGACCTACCCCAATAACCCTGCAAAAAGGGGAAGGGAATGCTGCTCCTCCAGCTGACGGAGAAGTATTCCACATGCTAATTCTTAGCTTGGCCCCCAGTTACCCAGTTTTCAAAACTGTATGCTATGGAAGTTTGACCTTAAACTTTATAATGATGTAATATTACATATGACTTATAGTGATGTAAATTTATATATGGTATTATTATATATGGTATTTTATATAGATATATTTAGACATATGTAGAATATATATATATGTATAAAATTATATAGAGAGATATATAGATATAGGTAGATTATTCTAGGTTGTTTTCCAATTGGGTCAGGTGCCTTCCTTCAAAGGCTTACTAAAGTGAAACCACTTTGCAAAGTATAACAAGTATCACCAGGATTGTAACAAATTCATCTTGCTGGATTTTATTCACTACAGGCAGTCTATCAAGATTCAGACCCATAACCTTTCAGAAGGATAGAAAGACAAAAAAACAACAACAACAAAAACTGTTCTCTAGCCATTTTCTAGGGTGGAATGCAAAGTATTTTGTTGTGGTAAGTAGGGCTTTGAAGACAAAAGCGCTGGGGCCATTCCTGTGATTGTTACCCCAGTGTTCAGCATGCAAAAGGGGGGCCCCAGGGTCTCAGAGATCATTTAATCCCCGTATATTAAAGCAAACCATGTCTCCATGCACTGCTCTAACCACCCTCTTCTGAAGCTTCCCTGCCCCCCCCCCCGCACCCCCCAAGGGAAAGTGAACTTGACTGGTGACTATCCCAAAAGAATTGCAGTTTCTTTACTTGCCTTCCTGTTCCAGTGAAGATTATGAGCCTAATTCTTAGAGACTGCTACTAAATTCCACCCTACTGAATTCTGCAGCCTAATTCTTTCAGCGTTATGTTTTTTGGCAGAATGATGTGACCCAAATTTGCAGGAGATAATTTGCTGCAACAGTGCTTCTTGTAATGCAATGAACCCAAGATGAGCATTTCAGGATTGCAAATATCAGCCTTAAAAATAATAATTATTTGCTTCAAGAAAGGATAGGTTTTGCTCTTTCTTGTATTATGGAAATGGAAATGCTCAGCAAAGTGTAGACAGTTTTATGAATTAAGGAAGCTTTACAAATCAATGGAAATAATCAAGAACTAGCAATTTACTTCAGTAATTGGTGGCAAAATGCTATAGAAGTTCTTTAAAGATTAAGAAATTAGCTGTGTGTGTGTATGTGTGTGGGGGATTGTAAAACCATCATGCATTCCATTTCCCATTAGTGGTGGCTAATACTATTCTTTAAAATGACATTTTCAAATCTGAGATGTCTTAAAACAAACAAAAAAAGAAAAAATATATATATATATATATGACTATGGCCGTTCCTGTTTCGCCCACCATGCCTCTCACAATGCTTGGCTATGTGAGCAATGCTGATTCATGTATTCATTCTTTCACCTTTTCTCAATATCAATCAACTTTAATATAAGGTATCAAGAGAGACTTGACGTGTTTCTTGGTTAGAATTTGTGGATCGGATTTTGGAAAGAGCCAGAGCAATAGTCCCATTGGGAGCAAGTCTTAAACTGAGTGCACTAAAGCTTCCTGGCCATGCATGGCCTGTGGCTAGTTCCTCAGGAATCTCTACCACTTATCTTGCCAGATTCTGTCTGCGTGTTCTCCTGTTGGGGAGTCCCTGTCACTTAAGGTACCAGCTGTGATCTCCGTGTCCTCATCAGATTCATTCACCCTCTCAGAATTCAAACACCAAGACCAGAGAAACTGAAGAGCAGGTTATTATATACATTAGAGGGGATCCCTTATTCCAAAAGGTTAAGTATGACAGAGAAAGAGAACAGAAAAAAAACCAACAGAAAGAATAAAAGGTGCGCAGTGTTTTCAGCTAGAGGCTAAGTGGCACATGCGCACGCGGGCTGGGGAGGCCTGCGGGGCCGCCTCTCTACGTGCTCTTACCTTGTTTCTCTTGAAGTAGGCTCGTCGGCAGGCCGCAAAGCACTTCTCGCTGCAGAAGCTTTTCACCTCACTTCCCATACTCAGGGAATAGCGCTTGATCCCCACTTTCTGGCACCAGGCACACATTATTTGTACATTTGACACATCATCTTCTATAATAAAAGTATAAGAAAAATGTTCATATCAGAAGCAAACATCCCTTCAAACTTAGTCACACCCTGAACCTGAAAGAGCTACCCGGGGTCTGATTTCAATCTCCGCACCTCACCGTGGTCTGACCTAGGAGAATGGCCAGCTCTTGCGGGGAGGGCTCCATGCTTTTTTTTTCTTTTGCTTTTTTTTCTGTTGGCTTTTAAGTTTCCAAAGACATCATTTACTTAAAAACCAGAGCATGACTACAGAGCCATGAGAGTTCCCAAGGCTGCTTAGCCTGGTAAAAATGCTTATTCTGCCTGCTTATACCAGGCTCAGTACTGATGAAGCTTGTAGAATGGCCCATTTGTTCAAAGGTGCAGCTGACAGCCTACAGGATCTACATATGGGGGAGGATAGCACACCCACATATGTGGTGACCTAATGTGAACCTTGACAGTCAGGAGCCAGGACCGATCTTGGCATGTTCCCTATTACATGTTACATATGGAGTGTTGTTTACTTTTGCAATTTAATGATTCCCAAATGATATGGTTAGTCAACAACGGAGAGATTGAGTGGCCAGATTCTGCTGATACAAAGGCAGTGGCCTGGCTCACTCGGTGGTCTCCTGTGATGCAGCCTTCCCACATGGGGTCCCAGACAGGCGCAGGCCTGATTGAAATTCTTCTCCATGAGATGTGTGTGATTCATGGTCCCTGGATGGAGGAATAGTCATGGGGTGTCAGCCATGAGCCCTGAGGTCACACGGCTGCCCAGATCACTGTTAGCCAGACGGGTGGTCCTCACAGCTCCAGGAGGACCTGTCGCCCACGCCATGGGGATGCTCAGAATGATGTTAGGTGATATGCAAATATTTTCAATATTTAAAATGCTGTATTTCTTTTCCTTTGTAAGAAAAGAAAACAAATTTAAGTAGTACAAGTCCATGACATCACAAATACTACTGCTCAAAACAAATAAAGACTTTTAAAGTGAGCCAATAAATGAAATGTAATAGTAATTACAGTGCAGGTAGCAAGATGTTAAGACAAACATGTGATGGTGATATTCAAATGACTGAAGTCTGGGAAACTTTTGTGGGGGACTAAACGTAGACCTTAAATACAGGTCTAAGAAATATTCCCTTGCTATCTCCTATGTGCTCTGGCTATATCTCGAGTTTCCTTGGTCCTCCCAAATGACAAAGTGTGTCTGACTGGTTGCCACTATTAGCCACATCTCTTCGTCCTTTATGGATTTTTTTTTGTACTAACCCAGACTCATGCTCCAGACATGAATGGTAATCACAAAATCCCCAGCAAGCTCTGGTATAGTGTTGTCTGATTCTGAGTAAAATCCCCCAAAGACTAATTGCTAAGCAAGGCCTGGTCCATGAGCTGTTGACATATTCATGGTTCATAGAACCTGTCATGCAATCATTCCATTTCCAGGGGAAAGATTTGGTTTGAGGCAGTGTGGTCATCAGCCTGCAAAATTAGAAGCAAACTAATTTGAAGTGCGGTGATACGGCTTTTTTCCCTGAGGATCACCACTCAGAACCACGTGCAGCATTTTATTTACTTTAATGGAATATTGTCATTTTAATCATCATTTTATTTTACAATTACATATTGTGATTTATTATAAACTATAATAAATGAGACAGTGTAACAATGACCTTTGATGCTAATCAAACATTTTTGATAACATAAGTTTCTTTAAGTGGAGTCAATATGAGTTCAAATATCATACAATTACTGTATTTAATCATTTGTTCTATTCAAAGAAAGCTTTGTGTTTTATATCATCTCTAATATGGCATCTGTCTATAGACATTGTACATGTATGAAGAATTAACAAAACTCCATAATTTACCTTACAGTACAGAAGGGTTTTTTAATTAGATTAGAAATGTTATACCTTTTAAATAATCATCTGTCATTACTAAACTCACTAGCACTAATAGTTTCTGATTTTTCCCAAGCAATTAGCTGCTTTATAATCTTAAATTCCTGAAAAAGAAGATGATACAGCAGAACTCTCACAAATGATCCAACGGCAATAAACTTGATTCTGGTGAAATCTGTAAGGAAAAATACTTTATGCGAGAAATTATTTGGCCTCAGCATTCAAGAAGGAACTTTAGGACATACATTAGGTTCCCCTCATTGTCTCTTCCATTTAAATGATCTAAAACTGAGATGGCAGAGAACAGAGCACAAAGCTTCAGCAGGGGCGGTGCTCGGCCTGCCCAGAGGAACGACACTTAGACAAAAAGGCTGCTGGTGGGTCTTCCTCATGCTTCATCCATCAACACCAGTCAGACCATTTGTCATTTTTTAAGGGAGGCAAGGATACTTTCTTACAAACAATAGACCTAACAAATGGACAAAAAGTAGAACTTTAAAGCAGATTATTTTTATAAATCATTTGCCCTATGAAGTAACAACACAGGAAGATGAAACAAAAATAATTGTGTATCTGGAATTGGAAATGGTTAGCATCTGTCTTGTTAAATAATTCAGTATTCCCATCCGTTTTTCATAAAACTCCGCTTCATAAAGGCAAACACTTTGGAAAACTTCCATAAGATTTCTCTTTTTCTGTCATCAAACTGTTATCAATAGCTAATGCTCCAAAGAAGAGTCTGATAAGTGGATTATTCCACAAGCTCAAGAAACATTTTTACATGTCTTAGGTATTCTAGTCTTACAGAAGTCATTTTTATTAATAGTATATTTAAGAAACTAAGAAAGATCTGCGATTATATACATTAATTTTCTCAGCTAAAACATAGCCCAAGATTCTGCCACCAGACATGAGATGGTATCCCATCTTAAGCAGTATGGCTGCACCCCTAGAAAAGTGAGATTTTCTTTAGTGCTGTACCCTGGAACTTATGTACATGCATCATGTTGGCAAAATAGAAGGCCCCAGCACTTCAGCTTTTCTAACTTTATCTGTTTCAAATTTCTTTATTTAAAACATATTTCTTCAAACTAGGGAAAACCCGATTTGCTGTCTTATATTTAGACTCAAGGTCTGTGAGACTTTGAGACTTGAGATTACCTCAAAGAAGACTCATGTAACATATTTTTCCTTACTGCCAGTAGCCTATGTATTTTTCATAATGAACAATGCAACAACAAATGCAAAATATTTATAGCATTAAATCACATTCCCAAAGTGAATAGTTTGTATAACATGATAAAAATTTTCATATGATAATGTCACATAAATATGCATCAGTCAAAATATGCATGTTTCAATTAATCATGAAGTTTATACCACCTCTTTAGGATTTAATTAAGTAAAATGTTTAGGGCATTTTCTTTCCAATCTAATGTTCAAAGAACTATAGAAAATTATTCTATTTTACATCCCAGAAGGAGAAGTTCAGATTAATTACTCTGAGATGAAATCAAAATTGTGTTTGTTTATCACAGTGCAGAGAAGTATGATGTCAAGCATTTCTGAAATGCCTTGCTGAAGTTTTTTGAGAAATTGCACTATTTGGTGACTATTAAAATAAGGATGGCCATTGGCCAGTGGCATTCTCAGGGCATTTGAATTGGCTATGAATTTGCATATTAGCTTACCTGACCAGAGCCCAAAGACAAGCAGGAGGGCCTTAATGGACCCCAAGTGATTAAACTGTAGATTTATCATCCCTTTGTAGTTTTCATGGGAATCCAAGACTGAGGAGGGAAATCTGAAAATATTTGCTAGTGATGTTTTTCTCCTCCAATAATTCCTAGAATGTACATGTCCAGATAATCATTTCAAGACTTGAATCATATTTGAAGCAAGTTACAAGTTAGTCTGAAGTGACTCCTGTGAGTTCTCCATACCATGAACTAGAGCTATGGCACTCTGTCAAACTATTTCTTGGAGCAGCTATATTTAAGAACAAAATGAAGACGTGGTCTGGAAGGCAGGAAACTAGGGTTAAAGTTTGCTGTTTTTCAGCCCTTTTTTGGAATAATTCAATTTCAAAAACTCTAGGGAAGTCCAATTTAAAAGTTTCCACAGAATCCTATAGATGCTTCTGTACAATTTCCTGTGTTCTAAACATGAACATTTAAGGATACCCAAAGAAAATTTGAACCACTGAGCCAAAAAGAAAATAATCATAGCTAGCCTTATTCAGTATTTAGTAGGTGCCAGGCACAGTGCAAAATTCTTTAAATCCATCATTTAATCTTAATCACAACCACCACCCCCAGGCAGGTACTAACATTATCCCCACTGTGCAGACGGGGAAAGTGAGGTTTAGAAGTTAAGTAATTTGCTCCAGATAACACAACCAGTACATACCAAAGCCTAGATGAAGACCAGGCCATCTGTAGCCAAGCCCAAGCTCTTGACCACAACACCTTAAAGCACACAGCCTTTCTAAGCATGGGAGGTTGCACACCATCCACACAGACTTCCTTCTACAGAAAGGACAGAAAGCTGTCACAGGTTCTGCTACTTACACAGGACACTGTTCCAGGACACACTAACAGACAAAGAAAATGGAAACAAAAGGGTCAAAATGTCTTTGAGAAGATAGCTGAAATGTTACTCAATCAATATTTGTCCACTGAGTTTAAAACAAAACAACAACAACAAAAAAAACGGTAAAGGCCTACAGTGTAAGCCTTTATGACTGTGGGACTTGAACTTGCTGCAAATATTCTATCTGAACGCTCACCAGCAAGTTCCACTTAAGCATTCGGTGATGAGAAAGAACCAAGAATACCTGGATCGCAGGATGCAGTCATTCTACCCACGCAAGCAATAGTCTTCCCAGCTTTCTCTTTTGTAAGGAGGGGGACCAACAGTAGGACATGGATGAGATTGACTTTGTGGGTCAAGTGAGTAATCACTTACATTTATAATTTCAAAGATCCCAATAAGAATATCTTAGCTTCAAAAATTATCCCTCAATTGTTCACTAAAATTAAATTCTACTATTAGAGAAGACTTTATTTGACTAAATATTTCTTATATCCCATTAAAACACAAATTCCCT